GGAGGCTGCTCCATGAAAACTTCTTCGGACAATGAGCCATGCAAGAACGCATTTTTCACGTCAAGTTGTCTGATTCCAACTTTTGACTGTTGCAAGGGATAGCACCAATCGAATTGTTCCTGGCTTGACAACTGGGGAGTATGTTTCATGAAAATCAACTCCGGGTAGTTGATGGTACCCTTTAGCAACTAGTCATGCTTTGAGACGTTCTAGCGTGCCATTAGCTTTGAGTTTCACCTTGTAAACCCATTTAGATCCAACAACATTCATTGATGATGTTCTAGGCACTAAACTCCATGTATTCTGTTGTTGCAGTGCAATTATTTCATCATTCATCGCTTGTTTCCAACCAGAGTGGGACAATGCACTTTTGAGGGATCTTGGTTCCTTTGGTATAGAATCAAAATCATGAAGAAGAGCATATTTAGGATTCGGTTTTCGGGTTCCTACCTGACTGCGTGTTACCATGTTATGGCCAGTTGGAGCTGCAGATGTTGTTGCAGTAGTAGTTGCACTTTCGATCTGGCCACTTGGTATTTCTTGTTCAGTAATCAAGTGAGTTGTTGAAGGTGAAGTATCTGCAAGACTATTTTGTGAGCTCGAGAGAAGATCATTCAAATTAATTGTTCTTTTGAGTTGTACATTTGGAGTATGTATTTGCTCTTCTTCTTCGGGTTGCATCATGCTTGCTGTTTGATCATTGGAAGGTGTAGACCAAGAGTCATACTCTCGAAAAGTGATTGGCTATGCTCCAGCATCTGGTGCAATGTTGTTGGTTTGTTGCTTGTAAGGTAAACAGGATTCATCAAATACCACATGTCTAGAAATATAAAATCTCTGTGTGGATGGAGAATAGCACCTATATCCCTTGTGACGGTCACTGTAACCCATAAATATGCATGATTTTTATTCTTCCTAGAATCCCATATGTAAGGGAAGCATTTTGATCCAAATACTCTTAGTGAATAATAATCTGGATGTTTGCCATATAGCCGAAAGAATGGAGACTCCCATTTTAATGTTGCCGTTGGTACTCGGTTGAGAAGGAATACTGTTGTAGTAAAGGCTTCAACCCAAAATATTTTAGGAACATTGGCATGAATTAACATGGTGATGCCTAGTTCTCTAATCACACGGTGCCTTCTCCCAACAAAACCATTTTGCTCAGATGTGTATGGACATGAAAGGCGATGTACTATCCCAGAATTTGCAAGATGTGATTTAAATTTCTGATTTACAAACTCTCCTCCCCCATCAGTCTGAATTATCTTAAGAGTTCCATTAAATTGTCTTTTGGCAAATTTCTCAAAGAGGATAAATTGATCATAAAAATCTGATTTTTGTTTCAGAGGGATTATCCACACAAATTTAGTAAAATCATCTACTATAGCTGCATAAAACCGAAACTGATGCAAAGAGGCAATTGGAGCAGGTCCCCATAAATCAATATATATTTTCTCAAATGATGCATAAGTGTTGGAATCAGATAAAGAGAAAGGTAGCTTAGATAATTTTCCTAATTGACAACTTTCACATATAAGATTGTCTTTATTTGTGGTAGTCCTTATTAGAGCTTTCTTCCGAAGATGAGTCACTGCAGCAGCTTGTACATGCCCAAGACGTTAATGCCAGGTGTCCTCTGAAACCATCTGAAATCTGGAGGAGAACAATGCTACTGGAGGGGCTCGGATTGCATATAAGTTACCCTTTTTTAGCCCCCTCATCAACACTCGCTGTGTCAGCTTGTCCTTGATGACAAAATCATGGTTAGAAAATTCACATGTTACAGAGTAGTCAGAAGTGAGTTGTCCAATAGATAATAAGCTTCTTTCCAATTCAGGAACCAATAGAACATTTCTTAATGTAATTTCAGATTGTCCAGTACCAAGTATAGCATCCCCAATATGTGTGACTTTTAAAAATCCTCCATTACCCAACATAACATGATCATGTCCAGTATAGGATCTAAGGTTATGTAGATTACCTGCATTGGAAGTCATATGGGCAGATGCTCCAGTGTCAGAAGTCCATTCTTCATGATGTGCCTCAGAATCAATCTGTAAAGTTGTGAAGGCTTGAGGAAGATTGTTTGGTTGGATTGAGTGATTGAACCGATACCAACATCTAATGGCAGGATGACCTTTCTTCCCACAAATTTGACATGTGACGTCCCTGTTGCTATCTCGAGAGGAGTTGTGTGCAAATGCAACATTTGTGAAAGATTTTGGTTGTTGATTGGCTGGGAGAAAACCTTTGCCTTTGGATGAAAATTGATTGGCTGGTTTGTTATGTTTGGAACCATATTTAGTATTATTTTTGTCTGCATAAAAGGCTGTATATTGGGAGGGCTCTGGAGTATGGATATTGAGCCGAGTCCATAGCTTTGAAGTAAAGGAACCACTTCATTGTATGTAGGCATAGGTGGTTTGAGCATGGATGTGGTAAATGGTTCATACCTTGCACCAAGACCTGTAAGTAACGAGAAGACCTTGTTTTTGTCGATAACAGTATGTCCAATGGCAGCAAGGCTATCACATACCTCTTTGAATTTTCGAAGATAGTCATTGAGAGGAACTTCAGGAGTTTTCTTCATGTATGTGAGTTGTTGATTGAGTTGAAACTGTCGCTCTTGAGAGGACTGAGCATATGCCTCTTTGAGTGCCGCCCAAACTTGTGCCGAGGTATCAAGACCAATAACATGGCCAAGCGCCTCCTCTGCTAAGGTGCCAATGATCCACCCTCTAAGCAGTCGATCTTCTGTTTTCCAACTTTTGTAAGCTGGATTAGCAGTCTCGTTGGTGCCATCAGTTGCTGGAAGTACAGCAACTGGACATTGATGTTCTCCGGTGAGAAAATCTGTGAGTTCTTGGCTTTTAGCAAGTGCAAGCACCTGCTCACGCCATAGGAGATAATTTTCAGGTCTAAGCCTGAGAGTTACAAAGTTGCTCACGTTCAAAGAAGCGGAAGACATTGTCGCTCTGATACCAAAAAGAATTAATTGAAAAGAGGAGGAGTTTGTGGAATTGTGTCACATCCCAAATGGGCTGTGATCACACCTATATATATATGTATTACTTTGTAAAGCTTTACATATAAATGGTTATAATGTCCACTGATATAATCAGGGCTGAAATCACGCTAAACATAATTACAGAGAATAATTCTAGCTGCTAATTTGTTGCCATATATTTAGCGATACTACTGAGTCTTCATCCAAAATTCCTGGAGCTGAGTTGGCTGATTTTGTATGCATGGTTTTAAGAGCAATTATAGGCTTTGATTCATCTGTTTTATCAT